CACCCCCCTCTCCTCGTGACGGCCTACCCCCTTCCTCCCCAACCACCCCCGCGCCACCACGCTCCGCCAAACCCAAACACGCTGTAGCGTACATATTTACAGTAGTGAAAATTGGCTAGAGTGTATTGCTATACGCTGGGTTTGCCAACCTGACGAATGAGCAGAGCGCGTGGTATGGCGAAGGGCGCGGCGGGGGCTGCTATCACGCCACTGCACGCCGCCACCGCGGGCAGCGGGAGGGGCCGCGCCCCGGGCATCGCATCGGCTGGTCCGGGCTCGCGCACTGACCCCTTCGACGATACCCGAGGAAAGTTTGGAACGCCGGTGAATAATTCATCAAACGCCGCGGAGCGCAGTGGAGGCAGCGGCGCGGGGCGGGCGCGGGCGCAGCGGCCGCAGAGCAAGTTTACCCTCTTTTCGTTGTGTCCACGACTCGGATAAACAAACTGCTCGCTAGCCAGTTTGAAAAGGAAGTTGAATCAAGGACGATGGGCGAGGAGGAGGCGGCGGCGGCAGCTGCGCGGCCGTGGCTGACCGGCCTGGCCTAGCCGTCGGTGACGGGCGGTGCGATACGAGGACGAGGCTCGTCAGCGGCTGGCTGCGGACCGCGGGCCGCTTCGGGCCGCTCGCCGGGCGGTTGGGGCGCGCCGTGGAGGTAGGCCGCCCAACGGACAACTCGCAGATAGGCGCCCGCGGGACGCGGTGTCCAAAGGCATAGGGGAAATGGGGTGTCGGCAGCAAAGAAAACCACCCTCTCCTCGTTTTGGTGCCAAAAGAAAAGGACCGACTGAACAAATGGCTGTGTATTCGCGGAGCAGCTGACGTACGGCAACAAGGGAGAAAACAAGGGCGGACGATGTTGACGAGAACATATGGTGCAGACGCGGGGCCACCGCAAGGAAGCGCGCGCACGAGATGTTTCTGACACAGTTGCCCCCCTTTCTTTTTGACTTTGAGAGGTTGGTCAATAATTCGAAGACCCCCCCCCCCCCCCGGCCCACTCCTATTCTTTCCCTGGCATCTTACGACACAACAGCATACGCTGCTCTATAATTGCATTATACTGACCTTGTTCAAGTTTGAAGGTGTCAGGCACCCTCCACTCCGCATCCACACGCCCGTCGGCTGTCGTCGTCGGAGGAAGACCTCTAGAAGTGCAGTGCCAGCGCGGTTCGGCAGACCTGCGCGCTATATACTCATTCTACTCGCCACTCGCCGCCCTCCTGCGCGCGCCTTATCAAACGTCGCGCCAAGAAGACCTCACCGTCTCCCCCCCCCCCCCCCTGGAGCTGACCCCCGGGCGCGGGGCCGCCCCCTCGCCACAAAGGGGTGGAGGGGAAGTGGCGGGGGAATGCGTCAGATCGTCGTGTTCGCGGAATCACCCGGTCAGCGGATCAGCTGAGCGAGGCTCCGAGAACACGTAAGCTGTGCCTCATATGAACGAGACCCGCTTAATGAGATGAAGAGTTTGGCCCAGCCAGCGCTAAACTGCCCCCCCCCCCCAACCCTATGTGCGTCTGAAAACAAGAACTAACTTTCACCTGAGGTTGTTTTTTGCTAAGTGCTAGTTGGACCTCCCTCAGACTTGGCGCTTATATGTTCTGCATACTTACAATTTTGTTTGTGTTCGATTTTTCCAGTTTTCATTGAATCGTGGGGTTTCGTCCGCATCGAGCCTGGAGGCGGAGCAGGCCGAAGCTGGGCCCCGGGCTCAGCTCACCCAGCTCCGCTCTGAGTGCTTCACGAGGTTCTACAGTTTAAGAAATCGTCCGATCAACCTATCAACCGATCAAGATCAAGATTTCCAGCAAGGGAAGTGGTTCTACCACATTCATTAACCCAGTCGCTCTAAGAGTTAGCGGAAAGAAATGAAAAACACCGATAGGAAGAGGGGAGCCTCAATGGTGGATTACATGACTACATGGATTGGTTTGTATCGTTAGACACGTAAAATCGGGAAAATCGCAATCAGAAGTGGGCCTTTTAGGTCCCGCGCCTGTTATTTTTGTGTGTGCCCAGCGCGTGGTGTGGCGCTGCTGTAGTGTTGGGATGGGGGTAGGAAGTGAAGTGAAATGAATTTCGGTTGTTTCAGTTCGTCGTCGAAGTTCACATCCGAGTTGAGATGATTTCATAAAAGTTGAAAAGTGTTATTTTCCCCTCTCGCCCGTAGAGTGACTCGAGTGACTCACGCTCGCGCCCCCGCGCCCCGCACGTGGCTGCAGCGTAGTGCAACAACTGCGCGCGCCGCCACCGTCCACCGCGGTCCACCGTCTCGCCCCGGCCCGGCCCCGGCCCGGCAGGCCGCGCCATTTGGACCCAGTGAATCAATGCGAGATCACAGCGGCGTGGGATGGTACGATTACGGCGCGGCATGGGGGGGAGGGGTGGCTGTGAATATGCAGACTATTTCCGGTGCAGCCCCGCGACCCGCCCGCGGTCCGCGTATTGTACAATATTGGCTGCGGGGGATGCGGGCTGTCGGGGTGGTGCATGGGGCGGGAGACGTCCACCACTTGCACCTGCTCGCCGTGCCCTCTGCGCGCTGCGCTGCGCCTATCAAGTGGGGAGAAAAAAAAGTCTCGAGCTTTGGACTTTTATTTCTCCGCCAAAGGTCGTTGGCTGACAAGTACCTTGCTCATCGCATCAAAGGAGTGGCCGAAAGTTGCGACCTGGCGAATCTTCTTTTATTTCTTACTTTTTCTTTTTTTTATCACAGAGAGAGATCGACGTTCCCTTCCGGTCCGTGACCCATCCCGCTTCGAGTGTCTTTATCACAGTCTGTCATTGACGAGCAAATCCACCATGGCCCGCCCGGCCCGGATGAAGGACGCCGTCGGGAGCATGACTCCGTCGGAGAGACGACGTCGAGAGGACGCCGTCGGAGAGACAACGTCGGGAGCACGCCGTCGTGGAAGTCGGCCCGGTCGCGACCGAGCCGCAACGCCCCAGCCTTGACCCGTGGCTTAGAAGTCCCGCAGCGTCTTCAGGACGGTCTTGTAGAGCAGCTCGTACGAGTTGGTCCCCCACAGATAGTCGGCGTGGTTGAACTTCTTGTCCGGGACCTTGAACACCGCTGCCGTGCCCGGGACTTCGCTGATCAGGCGCTCCACGTCCTGCGACGGGAAAAGATGGTGTAAGAAACATTCTTAGGTCCCATCCGCCAGCCCAATTTCCACTCTCGCAGGGTGTTTTCTCTGCATATTTTCTTTTTTTCTTTTTTTTTT